GATTTGGATGGCTGCTGATGCAAGTATTGTCTACGAGTGTGATGAGGTGATGAAAGAAATTCAAGAGTTTGATCCGAAATGCATTGATTGGCTTGCCGACAAGCCACCGTCCCAGTGGTCAAGATCACATTTTGCTACATTTTCTAAATGTGATATGATCCTGAATAATTTATGTGAGTTATTCAATAGCATAATATTATATGCAAGAGAAATGACGATATTGCCGATGTTGGAGTGAATTAGAAGATATTTATTAACACAACTTCAGAATCGAAGAGAGATGGCACATAGAAAATGGGGGGATATGCACTTTTGCTCGAAGATAGTAAGAATTATGAAGAAAAACATTCAGACGGCTTCTTCTTACGCACCCGCTAAAGTCGATGATTGGCGTTACGAGATTTATTGTTCGGATGAGAATCGATTCGTTATTGACATTCTACAAAAATCTTGCAGTTGTAGAAAATGGGAGTTATGTGGGATCCCGTGTCGCCATGCGATGAATGCTATATGTGGGCAACAATTAAATCTGGAGGACTTTGTTGACGAAATACTCAATGTTGAGACATTCAATAAAATATATTCGTATTCTATTGGTGCAATGGATGGTCAAAAAATGTGGCCAAAAACTGAATTACCTCCACCACTTCCTCCTAGTGTCAGACGAGCTGCTGAAAGGCTTAAGAAGGATAAGAGACGCGACCCCAACGAAGTAATGTAGAAAGGTCGATCACAAGAAAAAAAAGTCAGAGATAGTACTCTGCCAAGACAAAAAGTAAGAAGAACTTGCAAATATTGTGGGCTTTCTGGGCATACTTTCAAGGGTTATCAAAAGAGAAAAGCATGTTTGATGGAGTCAAATTTCATGGCGGACGGGATGCAACTTGCTGACGAGTTGTCACAGAGATATTTCCACTACACAAACTCAACAAGTTGAGACTCCTACACCACAAGCTTCCATCGTAAAGTTAACAGTACGTGTAACTTATGTTGTTTCTTAATATATTGGTACATATATTGACTTTTTATACAACATATTCTTACACTTTGTATGACATAGGTAAGAAAAAGAACACTTGGAGTGAGTGCAACAAATGAAGGTGGAAGATCAAGTGGGCTATGTTAAGATACTTTGTGATTTTGGGGCATGCTTACGTGGATTTGATTTGATTTGATTTTATGTTGTCTTATATTTATTGTGATGTTGGATTTGACTTATCTTACTGTAGACGGTTTGAATTACCTTGATGTAGATGAATTTAGATTATCTTGTTGAAGTAATTAATATCGTTATTTTAGTAGGTATTTTTTTTTGGATACCTTAATTTGATGAACATTTATACCAAAACTTTAAGAACGAACACAAGCGTGTTTACTAACACATAGGTGTGTATGTAAACATTTCGAATGTTCCAAAACATGGGTGTGTTGTATTATCACACGGCCGTGTGGGAATTACAATATGGGCAGGGTTTGTTTGAATTAACACGGCCGTGTTTGAGGTAGGTTAGGTTTTTTCAAAACCTGAATCGGTCGAACACGGGAGGCAAAAATCAAATTTGCCGTGTTCGAAATATCTTTAGACGACGGCGACGACGTAGGCGGCGGCGACGGACAACGGCGGCGGTAGGGTTTTGTTTTGCTATTTGGGAGATTTTTGAAAAAAAAAAAGAAGTTTTTTTCTAGTTGGTTTTTAAGGTTTTGTTAATTTTTTTGAACAATGTGAAATAATACTTTGTTCTTGAGGGATTTTGTTGAATTTTTTGAACAATGTGGTATAATACTTTGTTCTTGATGTTGCATTGTAATTTTTTACAACATTAAACTTCATTTTGTTGGATTTTTTATACAATGTGGTATAAAACTTTGTTCTTTAGGGATTTTTTGAAGAATGTGTTAAAGTAATTTGTTCTTCAGGGATTTTGTTGGATTTTTTGAACAATGTAGTATAATACTTTGTTCTTGAGGTTGTATTGAAATTTTTTGCTACATTCAACTTGATTTCGTGGGATTTAGTTTTTGTAAACTCTTATTTTTTAATTTTAAGGGATGTCACTTAAGGGGAAAAAACAACGAAGCGGCAAGAACGTTGCATGTTCATCAAGGGACAATACAAATTTGGATGATGTAGATGCTTAATAATTTGATTTTTCAAGAACAAAAGTATGTTGAACGGTATGAGCGTTTGAAGATTAAAACTTTTTTTACAAGTAAGCATATCGATAGCAAATTACTAGAGACTCTGGGCATAGAAGGGGAAGTAGAGGAGCTGATTTCGGTGGGCATTGTAACTTACAAGAGTTCGATGTTGGAATTCTTGACTACGTTGATGCACGACTCAATTAACTATCACTACGAAAAGCCAAAGAAGCTAACTTTTCGACTAAGAGGCAAGATACTTTCAATTTCACTGTCTGATTTTGCTGCAATCATGGGTTTGTATGATATGGAGTTCGTGGATTCACCGGATTTTAAGGACTTGCCCATTTCGATACTGAAAAATGCTCATCAATTCTGGTCGCAGATTAACACAGAGCAATTTCACAATCCTACCTTGTCGAAGGCATCGAGGCTCCGGTATGCACCTTTGCGAGTATATTCATTATATTTTGGCTCATACATTATCTGGTCGTAGAGAGAGTACGGGAGTAGTATATGGATGATCCTTTTACATCAAGTTGAGGATAAACGTTTTGGAGGAATTGCTATTGGGCGTTATGTCACTCGATTGGCAAAAGGTCTTGGACTATTTGATGATGTGACGGAGGAGCCTTGTTGTCTTATGATGCTGTGTGGTTTCACACCTTATAGTCTATGGGTATGGTTACGAAAATTAGACACAAGGAGGACGAGAGCGTTATATTTTGGTTGGTAGGGTTGCTGAGGAGATGAACCCGTATGATCCTGCACAGGGCGACGAGGTTGAGTGAGAGGCTGCATGCCCTCAGCCTTGTCGTAGGGTTCAACATAAGATCTCCAACTAGGAGTCATCCATCGCTAAGTTGCGTATTGAGATGAATCTCCGATTCGATCATATGGAGGAAAGGATACAGACATCGTTTGAAGGCCTTTACAAGCATTTTTTGTTTCCTTATCCGTCGGCCCAGCCTTCTTATGCACCAGCCCCAGCAGAGGACACTACGGCAGGACGGGAAAGTGAAGATTTGCACAACACGGATGTTGATGGATGGAGGAGATGACGACTCTGATTAAATACATATGTAGTTTGCGAATGTTTTGTTTGAATGTCTATTGTACTTTGATGGAGGGAGTATAATATATTATTAGGTTTTATTTCTATTTAATATATTGGTAATACTAAAAACATATTGGTCTGTTTACTTGTAGAGTTTCCACCCCGATTTTACTATTCCAACATTTTTTCTCTCCAAGAAATATCAAATCAAACACCTATTGATTATTTATTATATTACACAAAAATTTGATTTTATATTCAAAATATCACATCAATACATATTTCTATCACATTAAATAACTATTTTAATTTAAAATTTTACTATTCAAAACCAAAGCTTAAAATCAAAATCTTTCAAGTAAACCATCCTAATGATCAAGAGAAGCAAATGCGACAGGTATGCTAACGTTAGGGAATTCTATACCCTTTAACACGGCCATGTTTGACTAAACACGCCCGTGTTTAAAGCCATTTCGTTGGTGTTCTGACTTCAAACACGGGCGTGTTTGTATAGACACGGCCATGTTTGAACATGCCCACTGAAACAGGTGTATTCTACGGTTGAGGCAAACACGAGGTCAAAACACGGCCGTGTACATTTATATACACGGCCGTGTATACAAAAGTGAAGAACAACTGGTGTTTTGACTTCGAACACGGACGTGTTTGTATAAACACGGCCGTGTTGGAACACGACCACTGAAACGGGTGTGTTCTGCGGTTGAGGCAAACACGGGCTTGTTTTTGTTCAATACGGTCATGTTTGAATCGGTCAAGGCGGTGGCTTAGCTGTAAGATTGAACACGGCCATGTTTTATGTGACACAGCCGTGTTCGGTCCGACTCAGCTGCCAAATCAGCTTCCGTAATTGTCACGTCAACACAATCCGTTAAAATTTAAACGGTGGGACTAAAAATGATAAGTTTTGTTTAGCGTGGGATTAGTTTTGATAAATATTTTTTAATGAAACCAAAAATGAAAAAAATTGTTTTGAATTGGACTATAATTGATTTTTGCTTTATTATAAACATAATTTCAATTAATGATTGATATTTATTGTACAATAATTAATACTTATCCGTCTCAATTTAAAATGTTATTTTTTTTATTTGTCACAAAAGTATTTTTTTTTCCTATATCACTAAAAAGCATTTTATACACAAATACTAAAATACATCTATCTCTACCTAAATTACAAAAATACTGTTATTTTATTTGTTCTTTACAAGGGAAAAAATATCAAACTATTTTATATGTATTTATTAAATAATAAAATATAATTATTTTTAATATATAAAAAAATAAATGATCTCTTTAAAATGAGACGAAAAAATATAATTAAATATTACATATATGTTTTATTAAAATCGAATTTCCTCTGAAAATATTATGTTATCTCTGTACGTCTTATTTATTTATTTTTTTATATTTGAATATTAATTATTATAGAAACACGGCATTGCAAATCAACCAAATATATTTTTTTAGTATCTTATAATACTATTATAATGATATTTGTATAATTGTTATACAAATATAAAAATATTTTTAATCGAGATAGATAATACAATGAAGCAAAAAAAACAAATGAGACATTTTATAACCATCTTAATTTATTAATTTATAATCGAGACAAGTTGATTAGCAAATAAATTTAATTAAAAATAGATTTTAAGCCTAGTATTTTAAATATATACATATATTTGAATAAAATATTTTTAAATAAAGTATAAATATTTAATTTAATTTTTTTAAGTTAATATATATGAATAATGTCAAATATTTCAAATAGGAAAAAAAAAAAAGTGACGATAAGCATTAAGCAAAGCCGAATCATTCGAGCCTATTCTCTATGGCGAGCGAAGTTCCTCCCCCGGCCGCCGCTGCCACCGCCGTCGATAAGCCTTCAAAGCAGCATGACCGGAGGCTGAACAAGCAAGACGAGGCGAGGCGACCTCGTTCCATTTTCGAGGTTCCACGCGATTTTTTTGATTCGTGCCGCCTCTTCCACTCAGGCCTGTCTTCGCTTGTGGATTCCGACCTCTCGCCCAAGGACGATGTGGAGCAATCGAAATTGGAGGAGGAGATAGTCGAAGATAGCAGCAGCACCAGCGGCGATGCCAAGCTTATGCAGAGATGGTCTTGCAGCACTTGTAAGGCGGACTTCGATTCTCTCCAAGACCAGCGGCTGCACTTCAAGTCTGATCTCCACCGGTTCAATGTATGCATCATTTATCTTGTTTTGTCAGTTGAAAGCTTTCGATTTTATTGACTTGAACTGAGTTCCAGAGGGATTAAAACATATCGATATATGTTTGGTTTTTTATGGTATTTCAAGATGGTGATTTCCGCCCTATTTTGGAGCCGAATTAAGTTGTCTAATCGAAAACATGAATTTCTATTACGAGATAACTTGCTTTGTTGGATTAGGTTGATTGTCGCTTCTAAATCTGCGGTCGTTATTCTTTATTGGAGATTGATTGGATGATTTCTTGTTTATATGTTTTTGCAATCTTCAAGCGCTTTGGCAGTAAAACTTCTATTCCATTTTCAATCAAAGTTTTAGCTTTCAGAACTTTTTGACAATGTTTGACGCATGAATTTGGTGGAACTTTTTTTGTTTGTTATGTATTTAGCTTCTTTGGGATATAAGTCTAAATTAGAAATTAAGATTGTTCAAATTCAATAATTATTTGCGCCACCCCCAATCAAAGTTCAGTTGTTTTCATTTAAAGTTTTGATTTACTTGATTGCTTTCGGTTGCAGATAAAGCTAAGTGTTGCTGGAAAAAATATTATTAAAGAGGAAGACTTTGATGAAGAGAAGTCGGATATGTTATGTAGAGACAATGATGTATCTAGCATTTCTGGATCAGAAAATGAGGATGACAGGGAGGGTAGTCTCCACCCGCGACAAGAATCTGGTGGAATTTCGAAGAAAAAATTATTTATACAATTACAGAGTGGGGAGAGAGTTTCTGTTTGGAGAACTTTGATACTTGATGAATCCGAACACGTTTCCTTCGAAAATGATAAGTCAATTGTTATGGATAGGGCTGGAGATGTGTATTTAACGCCAAAAGAAGTGATTGAAAAACTGAAATATGTGCTTCATGAACCTAGAGATAATACCTACTTGAGAATTGTTTTACTTGCAAGAGGCGGACACTTTGCTGGGTGTGTCTTTGATGGTAATTCGCTTGTGGCTCACAAGACTTTTCACAGGTATGGCTATTTCAGAGGAGTTTTGTTGAAAGTGTGTGTTTACTTGTGTTTGCTTTTGTTTTAGTGTTTTGGGTTTTTGATGTCTTTTAGGTGAAATAATTTTTTACTATGATGTTTTGAATGAAAAATGGGTGTTAGATATGATTTTTTTTGAGAGAAAACGATAGATTTAATAGCACGGAAATAAGTTTGAAATACAGGTAAACAATCACATTTTGTCATCTTGTGATCATTGTTTTCTCTTATGTTGTTATGACTGATGCTCTTATAGTTTAATAGTTTTACTTTAAAGTCATTTTTCTTCATGATTGTCATTCTGATGAGCTTGTGATTCTGTTGTGCCTATTACAATAATTCAATTGAGGCCATCCGGACTTGCAAAAGTTGATGTTTTAGTGATCTGGAATAAATTTTCTAAGTGGGCATCAATTACAGTCAATTCTTGTAATTACTTGAAGCATATGGGTGTCTGGACATACACTGCTCATTGACTATATCTTACTTTTCTTCCAAAACATAAACACATACCCACACACAGTTAATTGATGAAAAGAAGTAAAAAGTTGTTTTTCTTTTTGGAAGTATGTGCTAAAACTGCCCCCAATTTCTTTGATTTGAGGTTACTACACATACACACAATGTAACTTGTTCAGCTTTTGTAAGTTTCACAATTTGTACATGGTCATTGACTTTTACGACAGCAAAACGTGTTAATTTTCTTTTCCCGTTTCTATATTAATGTGTTCTTAAATCATCACTCAGGTAAGCTTTGATAACTCACTGTCTTCTTCTCTTGATTCTTTATGTGTAGATACGTTGTTAGGGCAAAGGCAGGGAAAAAACAGTCATCTAAAGATGCAGGAGGCCGGGCTATTCATTCAGCTGGAGCTTCACTTCGTCGATATAATGAATTAGCTCTTAAAAAGGTTTGAGTTTCTTGATTATTCTCATGGTAATATTTGACATTATTTTCATGGAGTTTATTTCTTTGTTTTCAGATCTTTGCTTGCAAGTATTACAGAAGTTTTTACATGTATCTTGGATTGTTTTGGCTGTTTTGATCTTATTTGAATTATTTTGAAAGGAATCTAGGTGTTAGATGTGATATTTTAAATGGAAAATAGGTTTTGGATGTAATGTTTTTTAGTGGAAAAAAATATTTTATTATAGATTGTATAGTGTTAAAGTAGTGATGAAAACACAAGTGAGCACACCTTAATTTTTTCTTGAAATGTACTTAAGGTACTTGTACTCAAGATCACTAATTTTTGCATTTTCATAGACCTGATTTGATGATCTTCCATCTCTTAGGATTGTATAGCATATCCGTCTCTAATCAGGGATAGAATCTAAAATTCATTCTTTCTTGTACAGCTTTGTATCTGCATGATTTCATACTATCATTAATTTGTTCTGTTTTACTCAATGTGCAGGATGTTCAAGAGCTACTTATTTCTTGGAAGCCATATTTCACTGTTGCCTCCTGCGTGTTTTTATATGCTCCTTCAAATAACCGGCAACTTCTTTTTGATGGAGATAAACCTATTTTTATCTGCCAACATCGTGCAGTTAGAAATATCTCATTAACTGTTCGAAGACCTACCTTTAAGGAAGCTAGACGACTATATAACTTACTGACACAAATTTCCCCCGAGACAAGTGAAGAAATATCTCTGACTACTGATGAGAAGTTATTACCTTATGCAAATGTCAGAAATGACAGTAACCCTATGTCCAGTAAAGCAGAGTTGGGAGATACTCCGAAGGATCCAGAAATGGGGAAATTATGTTCTGTTGCGACCAAAATTGACAGTTTGTCCTTGTCCGATGATTCAAAGAAAGAAACTGATACTGTCGGCACATCAACACCTTTACATGATGCTGCAAAGTCTGGGAATGCTCAGAAAGTTTTGGAATTGCTCGAACAGGGTCTAGATCCTTGCATTAAGGATGAGAGGGGTCGAACACCGTATATGGTCACTAGTGAGAAGGAAGTGAGGAATACTTTCAGACGTTTCATGGCATCAAACCTTGAGAAATGGGATTGGCATGCTGCTAATGTACCTAGTGCACTGACGAAGGAGATGGAAGAGTCTCAGGCTGCTAAGCAGGTTGACGACATGTTTTAATAATTTGCTTACACCAATAATCCTCTTTGAACAAGCTACCTTTTTGTATGGTTGTGCAAAATGAACTAATTTCTACCTTCTCCGTGTTTGTTAAATACCGATTGTACCAGGCCGAGAAAGATGCGAAGAGGAAAGCAAGAGCAAAAGAGTTGAAGAAACTACGAAAAGCAAAAGAAAAGAAGGCTCAGGTTAATTTCAATTATGTTCTGCTGACTTAGGATGTGTTTGGTTGTTGGTTGGGATGTGGTTGCCATTATGTTCTTAATATTTTTCATCTCAAATGTTTTTCAAAATGAGACCATACTTATGATTTCTTATGTTTATTTTTATTTTTCTCTTAATCAAAATATACATTTACAAAAAAACTCCCTATATTTTGTAAAATTGATTTATGTTAATCATGTATAAATATATAACTTTTATTTATTTGTATTATATACAATTTTATTTTCTACGAAATAATAGTCATTAAATATATTTATTGAAGTACAATATAGTTTTTAAAATACTTCAATATATATTAATCATTAACCAAGCAATATCTCATTCCTAGAAGTAAAATCGAATTTCCAACCACAATCTTAAGTCACAAATGGACTCTTAAGATTGTTTTGCAAGGTTTTTGACACAGCCTGCTGCAAAATCATGGTCGAAATGGTTGGTTCATTTGATACATACCCATCTCTAAACTTGATCTTACTTACTGCTCACAAGTCACAACTGAGTCCAGGTTAATGTGTTTCTTCCTAGTGTAATTGGCTTTACATGTTGCATTATTCCCCACAGATTTCTTTAGGTAATTGAAGATTGCTGAATGGGATTTTTTTTAAGTTCTGTTGTTTCAGAAAATTTTCTTTCCGAAACTCATGTGGTGATGCCTTTTCATTTCTTTTTGGCTTTACCATAAACTTTACAAAACAGGCAGAAGCTGCTCAAGCCCAGAATCACTCATCCGCGTCAGGTGCATCTAATCATAAAGGGAGTTCTCTATCAAGCAGTTCCATGACAATGTCCAGAGAGGTACTACTGTTTAGTATTTTACATTTTACTATTCGATTATGGTCGCATTGTTCATAAACAATACAAGAACATTGGTTGGATTTACGAGCCGTATGATTGTCATTTTATGCATTTTCTTGTCTAGAAGCTACTAGCTTTTTGGATACCTCATGTACCTTTACTCCCTTAAGTTGTGGTGCAATCATCCCTACATGTCGCATATATTACAAGTTGGTTTTTGTTTCTTTTGTTACGTCACAATGAAATTTCTTATGATCGAAATTTCACGTGGGGCCACTTGAATTTTACTAACTACATTTCAAATCATTGTGTATACCTATAGGGCAAGGTTTTTTTTTTTTAAGTAAAATAGTTGTTGAAAGTAATACTCTCTCCGTCCCACTCCAAAGGGGTTTTTGGAGTCCACAAAGGATTTTATAGTAGATTAAGAAATAATAATAGTTTATTGGTTAGTGGAAATTTGTAAGAGTTTTTGACATTTTTATCTTTTGACTTTATGTATAAAGTAATTGTATATGTAGTAATGGTATATTTGTAATTTATATAAAAGTTAAGGGTATTTTAGTATTAGTATATGATTACTTTTACTAAAATAGAAAATGATACTTTGAAGTGGGACATGCAAAAATGTGGTAAAAAAGGTACTTTGAGTTGGAACGGATGGAGTATTTTATATGAAAAATGACCCATGGGATCCGCCGTCCCAAAAATGAACTCTATTCCCCTATCCTCACACACATAATGTGTATATATACACACACGTTATGTGTGTGGGGATAGGGGACAGGGGATAGGATGTGTTAATGGGACGGAGGATCCGATCAGAAAAAATGAATATATGTTTTTAGAAGAAAACTGAAAGATTGATTTGGTATATTTCTGCATTGAAAATTTTTAAAAATTTTATAACTAAGGGAACAAAAAAGGCAGAGGTGACTTCATCCCACTCTTTATTTGCATCTCTGCATGCTTTAGCCTACTCTTGTTATTTCCAGGAGGAGCGGAAAAGAATGATCGATGCTGAACGGGAAAAAAGAGCTGCTGCTGCTGAGCGACGAATAGCAGCAGCACAAAAAGCTCGAGAATCTGAATCAGGGACTTCTAATAATGCAGAGGCTAAGAACACAACTGGTACCGATATTCTATGCTCGTGCTGCAGTGCATCCCTCGCCGGTAAGGTACCGTTTCATCGATACCATTATAAATACTGCAGCTCTACTTGCATGCATGTGCACAAAGATATCCTTGAGTTGAGTGATTAATTTCCATTTTGTGACCATCCATATGATTTTATTTTATTTTATTTAAATTTTTTTTAACCCTATTCTGCTCTTTACATTGTGGTTTTATCCAAAGTATTTTTTGATTCTGGTATTTAATTAAATTAGTAGGACATAGATGTCACATAGACATACATAGTGTGTTTGATTTGTTTTTGTGTTTGTTTGGTGAGATAAAATGAATTTTATTTTTAATAGGGAGCTGTAGAAATTTCATAATAGAGAAATTGATAGAAATCTTAAAACAAACGGAGCTTATAGTTCTTGCTGTTCTCTGTTTGTGTGTAATTCTTTTTCTTTATTTAAGTTACCTATGAAGGCATCAGGAAAATTTGTGCAGTTATACTAGTGCTGCTAAATTAGTTCAAACGAAAAGGTAAAAGAAAAAAATGAATAAAAATTATTTAAATTGTATTGTTTAAAAAAATCATTTATAAGTACTATATTTATATACAAGCCTTCAGAAAATTTTGGTAATTATTTGTTATTGGCTTTTTTTTTTTTTTTTTAATATCATATCAAATATATTTAGTGCCTCGTAAAGTGCTGAATGTTAAATTACTTTTAAAAAAATTAGGATTTGCTCTTTCTATTATTTTTCTCACATATTTTTCCAAAATAATTAATATACTACGTACATTTATTATTTTTATATTTCATACACAAATTCTTATATTTCATATATATATATATATGTATATTTATTTTTTTTCAACAATTTTGCAAAACAAACACATCTTTTGTTGTGTTCTTTTATGGGTTTTACTCAATTTTTATTATTCAGATTGTATTTTTTTTTTTCAAAAATATCAAATCCAACAATGATTTGTCTTTTTTTATTATATTATAAATTTATTTTACATTCAAAATATCATATATATATATATCACATATTAAACAATTATTCAAATTCAATTTTTTACTAGAGCAAAAATCAATTATAATCCCATTCAAAACTATTTTTTTTTTTCATTTTTGGTCTCATTCAAAAATAATTATCAAAACTAGTCCCACACTAAACAAAATTTATCATTTTTAGTCTCACTATTCAAACTTCAACGAACTATGCTGACGTGGCCGTTACGGAAGATGATTTGGCAGCTGACTTGGACTGAACATGGCCGTGTTCAATCTTACATCTCAGTTACCGCCCTGACCGATTCGAACACGGCCGTATTGAACAAAGACACGCCCGTGTTTGCCTCGACCGCATAACACACCCGTTTCAAAGGGCGTGTTACAACACGGCCGTGGTCGTGCAAACACGCCCGTGCTTGAAGTCAGAACACCTGTTCTGCACTTTTTCACACACGGCTGTGTATATATATATGTACACGGCTGTGTTTGACCTTGTATTTGCCTAACACACCCGTTTCAGGAGGCGTGTTTAAACACGGCCGTGGTTGTACAAACACGCCCGTGTTCAAAGTCACAACACCAACGAAATCGTTTTAAACACGGGCGTGTTTAGTCGAACACGGCTATGTTCGAGGGTACAAATCAACCGTGTTGAAGGGTACAGATTTCTCTCGTGCATATGCTTATCTTGATCATTATATGTTTTTAGTATTACCAATATATTAAATAAAATTAAAACCTAATAATATATTATATTTAATTAAAAAGTCAGTTTACAGACATCGAAACAAAACATTCGAAAACTACATAATATCTATCTAATCAGAGTCGTCATGTTCTTCATCCATGTTGTGCATATCTTTATCGTCCCGTCCTGCCGTAGTGTCCTCTGCTGGGGTTGGTGCATAAGAAGGCTGAGCTGACGGATAAGGAAGCGAGAAATGCTCGTAAAAGCCTGCAAACAATGTCCGTATCGTCTCCTCCACATGATCGAATCGGCAATTCATCTCAATACCCAACTCAGCGACGGATGACTCATCGTTGGAGACCCTATGTTGAGCCCTACGACGAGGCTGAGGGTGCGCAACCTCTCGCTCAACCTCGTCGCCCTGTGCAGGATCATTCGGATCCATCTTCTCACCAGCCCTACCAACCAAAACATAACGATCTCGTCCTCCTTGTGTCTTAATTTTTGTAACCCATAGACTGTAGGGTGCAAAAATCACACGGCATCGTAAGACAACAAGGCTCCTCCGTCCCATCATCAAACAGTCCAAGACCTTTTGCCAATCGAGTGACATAAGGCCCAATAGTAATGCCTCTGAGACGTTTATCTTGAACTTGATAGATGAGGAACCGCGCAAGCATATATCCTAAATTTACAGGTATGCGTGTATGCATACTCCAAATATAACATAAGTCATGCGAAGATACTACTCCCGTACTCTCTCTACGAACATATAATATATGAGCCAAAATATAATAAATATATCGCTGAGGTGCATACCGGAGCCTCGATGCCTTCGACCGGGTAGGAATTGTGAAATTACTCTGTGCTAATCCGCGACCATAAATGATGAGTATTTTCCGGTATTGAAATGGGAAAGTCCTTAAACTCTGGTGAACCCATGAACCCCGTATCATGCAAACCCATGATTGCAGTAAACTCAGACAGTGAAATCGAAAACATCTTGCCTCTGAGTCGAAAAGTTAATTTCTTTGGCTTTTTGTAGTGATAATTTATCGAGTCGTGCATTAATGTAGTCATAAATTCCAACGTCAAACTCTTATAAGTTGGCTCTATAATTTGAAAAAATTGACGACATGCCCCCACCGAAATAAGCCCCTCTACCTCCCCTTCTATGCCCAGAGTCTCAAGTACTTTGTTATCGATATGCTTACTCGTCAAAAAAGTTTTATTCTTCAAACGTTCATACCGTTCAACATACTCTTGTTTTCGAAAGTTCAAATATTGAGCATTTGCATCCAAATGTGTATTGTCCCTTGATGAACTTGCAACGTTCTTGCCGCTTCGTTGTTGTTTCTTTCCTTTAGGTGTCATCCCTTAAAATTGAAATTAACAAATAAGAATATATTACTATACCACATTCTTCAACAAATCTCTCAAGAACAAAGTTTTATACCACATTGTATAAAAAATCCAACAAAATCAAGTTTAATGTTGTAAAAAGTTACAATACAACCTCAAGAACAAAGTATTATGCCACATTATTCAAAAAAAAATTAACAAAATCATAAAAACCAAGTGGAAAAAAACCTTTTTTTCAAATATTCTCCCAAATCGCAAAACAAAAACCCTACCGCCGCCGCCGCCGCCTACGTCTTCGTTTTCGTCCGTCGCCGCTGACCACCGCCATCGTCCGTCGCCGCCGCCTGCATCGTCGTCTTCGTCCAGAGAATTTTCGAACACGGGGGATTTGATTTTTGTCTCTCGTGTTCGACCGATTCGGGTTTTTAAAAAATCTAACCCATATCAAACACGGCCGTGTTAAAAGTCACAAATTCTGCCCAATTATAATTACAACACGGCCGTCTTTGTTCTAAACACAGCCATGTTACGAGACACGGCCAACCACATGGCCATGCCTAACCCCCCCAGGCAGTATTTTGTTTTCTCAACACGGTCGTGTTTAGCGACATGGCCAACCACATGGCCGTGTCTAACCCCCTCGCAGTTTTCTGTTTTCTCAACACAGTCATGTTTAGCGACACGGCCAACCACATGGCCGTGTCAAACCCCCCCGCAGTTTTTTGTTTTCTCAACACGGCCAACCACATGGCCGTGTCTAACCCCTCCGCAGTTTTCTGTTTTCTCAACACGGCCGTGTTTGCCGTGTTTAGCGACACGGCCAACCACATGGCCGTGTCTAACCCCCCGCAATATTCTGTTTTTTGAACACGACCGTGTTTGTACTGAACACGGCCGTGTTTCCCGACACGGCCAATGACATGGCCGTTTTTCACCACCTGCACTATTATGTTTCTGAAACACGCCCGTGTATTCTCCCAACACGGACGTATTTGGGTATATGTTCACCCATTTTGTTTTCTGAACACGGCCGTGTTACGTAGAACACGGCCGTGTATGATTAAATAATATTTTGAAATGTGTACATACACACCCGTGTTTAATCTTAAATTTTTGGTATAAATGTACATCAAATTAAGGTATCTAAAAAACATCTACTAAAATAACGATATTAATTATTTCAACAACAAAAACAAAATTCATCCACATCAGGGTAATTCAAACTCGTCTACAGTAATATAAGTCAATTCCAATAACAGTTAGTAGAATGCCTTGACAAGGACCTTTTAGGTAACAACCATCAACCCCGATGATAGGTCGACATTCGGACTGAAACCCCCGCACAAGCAATTTCGAATATACGTAATACTTACTAAATCTGCGTCGTTCATTCAAAAATTCACCTTCCAACTTCATCAAAACAGTTGACTCAGGATTACACTGTCGTAAAGCTTCGGCATAGTCCCACAATTTTCCATATTGGTCTTCGGCATCACCTTCAATTGCTTTTAGTGTCTATTTCCGCGCTTTGTATGCTTGTTGTTGGGATATATTACATCTAATGTCTTCCGTAACGTCTGTCCTAAATCCCTTTATACGTCGTTTAGGATCAAATCGAAACAACGACTCATATTTCTTTGCAAGCCACGTCGACTTAACATTCTTTACATTCAAGTCGCACATGCAATCTTGGTTGCAATTATATGTTTTGAGTTGAAAAGATGCTTCATTATTCCCCTTTAATGCGTTCATTTTCCAATTGCAATTCTCAACGGCACATTGGACATAAGCTATTCTTTTTATCATTTTTGACAAATTTCATACTTCTCATTGTTTTGATAGCGTGATTCTGAACTACATTTTTAAATTTTCATCTTCAGAATTTTGGTGTACTATGAGCCTTTGATTTTCATTAAACTCATTCATATCTACGTTGCTCTCAAACAATGACCGATCAATTCTATCATCTTCCGAATCTTGTTCTTCCATTATATAATTAGAATCCTAAAAATCCGATTCACTAAGCATTTCATTCCACTCATCTTCTCCTCTAATGTCCTTACAATCTATATCTATATCTTCATCATACATCTCTTCAACACATTTTCTCTTATCGTAATTCATTTCTATGATAATGAATTTTCTCCTACAATACAAGATATAATAGAACACATTCAATACACTAGTTATAAAATACAAAAATTTAATCATTAATCAATAAAAAAGTACATTACATAAAACTTATCTCTATAATATTCATTTTTTTCATACAATATAATTCATTAATCACAAAAAAAATACATTCTACACATATTAACTTTTTTTAAAATCATAAATACAAAAAAAAAGTAAAGAAATAAAATTTACCTCTTTACTCCAAAAAAATAAAATATAATAGGTGGAATGTGGGGTTGGAATGTTAAAATGTAGGAATGAAATGAGGGATTGGAATGTTGGAAATGTGGGTTGAAATGTTGGGGATTTGGAAGCAAAAATGTTGTTGTCGGGTGTGTGGTTGTGTTTGTTGGATTTTGAAGTGGGGACATGTGGGACTAGGGATTTATATGTGAACAAGGTCAAACACGGCCGTGTACATATATATACACGGCCGTGTGTGAAAAAGTACATAACAGGTGTCTTAACTTCGAACACGGGCGTGTTGGCACGAACACGGCCGTGTTGTAACATGCCCTCTGAAACGGGTGTGTTCTGCGGTCGAGGCAAACACGGGCATGTCTTTGTTCAACACGGCCGTGTTCAAATCGGTTAGGGCAGTGGCTGAGATGTAAGATTGAACACAGCCGTGTTCTCTTTGACACGTCCGTATTCAATCTGACTCAGCTGCCAAATCAACTTCCGTAACGGCCACGTCAGCATAATTCGTTGAAGTTTGAACGGTGGAACTAAAAATGATAAGTTTTGTTTAGTGTAGAACTAATTTTGATAATTATTTTTGAATGGGATCAAAAATGAAAAAAATGGTTTTGAATGAGATTATAGTTGATTTTTGCTCTTTTTACTATTTAGAAATCCAAACTAAAAAACTAAAATCCGCAAACAAACACAATTTCAATGTATATGGAACCAAATGTTTAATTCATCAGAATTGCATTGTTATAAGAAATATGATTATTTTTATCGAAATAATATACTATCTTCATCCAACTAGGAAGCAAATATATGCTTTTGTGCAATTGTATTTAACATTAAAAATATCTTTATATTCGTATAGTTTACTCCAAAAATATTATTATATTTGTATTATAAGAGACTAATATATATATTTTTGTTATTTTCTCTTTATTATTTGTACTATATTTTGATATAATAATTAATATTCAAATATCAATACAAGAAAATCACTGAATATTTTGTGGCTGGACGGAAGTAGTATATATTTTTTTTGATACAGTGAGTTTCTTGAATGGTATAAAATATTTATATTAAGTTATAATATTTTCTAAGTAAAATAATTGATGGATGCAATGTTATGTACGAGAAATGTGTGTGGAATGTAATAGTTTTGTAGAAAAACTGGATTTAGTTGGAATTTGGTTATACGCCCAAGTTTGCACTTTTTGTTTGCAAAATAATTTGAATATGGTATTTTGTATTACATAGTAAAAAAAATTAAAACCGAAATTAAATTAAACGGAGAAAAATCCTGATAAAAATGTTGAAAGAATAATGGTTTGTTTGTTTAGTATTTTAGTTTGAGATATTTTTTAATGTAAAATACGAGACATTTGGTTTATAATATAAAATAATAATATTTTGAGTTGAATAATATTTTTTTGAAAAAATATAATACTCTCTCCGTCCCATTGGAAGGGTGATATTTGTTTTTTGCACGTAATTTTTTTAATATTAGTATTATATTGGATTGTAGTAAAAAAAACAAATATACACCTATTAGCATGTGGTGTAATATAAAAGTAATGACATTTGTGTAATATATTATAAATTGAAAGAGTATTTATTATGTTAGGTAGGTAACAATTACTAAATTAGAAAATAATAACTTTGTTTTAGGACGTACGAAAATAGAAAATGATAATCTTTCAATGGGACGAGACGGAGGGAGTATAATATAATATTGAAAATAGTGTGAAATTTTGTTTTTTTAGAGGAGGGGGGGGGGGAAATAAACCCTAAATCTTATAATATAATCCATATTTTCATTTTTAAAATATTATTTTGATGTGTATGTATGTTTCTTTTGCCAAAATTTTCAAGTTTATACTATTTGAGCGATGCACTTCTTAAAAAATTATATATTTTTTTATCTCACAAAACAGTTAATTCTTCTAAATCTCCAATTCTCAAGTTACTTTCTATGTCAGTCCGTATTCATAAATTTTTTCCTCCAAACTCCCCGGATAATATTAGATACAACAATATAAATCATTATTTTTTATATATCATTTAAAATAAAAAGTTTGACAATCTAAATGTTTCATTCTTAGTTTTTTTATTTTTTTTTATTTTTTTTATTTTTTATTTAAGACAACTAATGTTGAACTTCCGTCCAACCACCGATACAGACACAAATGTCCACTTTTTATTTTTTTGTATAGAAAGTAGATGAGAATTCGATTTTAGGATTAGAGAGTTAAATAGAAGTTGCTATTATTTTAATACTAAATTTAAACCAATATTTTTCCAAACCTATATAAAAAAACACCTGACTTCTTATATATATTTTTATTTAATATGAAAATTGTATTGATAATAAAAGATAATATTTTATAAAAAATTATTGACTTTTATAAAAAAAAAATTATATATATTATATCTATATTATGTGTATGTATCTATGTATTTTTTATTAATATTAATAAAAATTTATACCATTAATAATTTATTAAGTAAATCTTTATTATTTTAAAAATTAGGCCAATTACTTTTGGTCCACCCAGTAAATCATACTAAGAGGGTGTTTGGTAAACAACTTTTAACTTATTTAAGAGCTTTTAGCTGTTTGACCAGTAAACCAGCTAATTTTGGTGTTGGGTAAATTAGCGTTTTCAATTAGCTTATTGGGTCGAAAAAGCTAATTTTGAAAAAACTATATATACCAACGTTTCAGATTAGTTTTTTCATTTTAATTTTTCTTATTCCTTAGTTGCCCTTAAAATTAATTAATTATTTTACATATATTCATATATTTTTTTATTACACTATTTATTAATTATTTAGATATATTCTCTTCTAATAACTTATAAAATTCATATTTATAAATTTAAAATAATTATTTTTTTATATATCAATTATTTTATTTATATATATTTTATTTTTTAGAATAAAAATAATATAAAAATATTAATATTATTGAATTAATTATGTAGCATTTTTTTATCACATAATATTTTTATTAAAAATGAATATATTTATTTAAAATTATAATTTAATATAAATATATATTAATTAAAAATTAATCTAATAAAAATACATATATTAATAATTTTTACTCTTTTATATTTATACTATTTCTAATGAAAAAAAAAAAAATTTTCAATAAACTTGTATTAATTTTTTAGAAAATATTTTTAAAATAATAAAAATAAATATCTTACTACATTTTTTCTAATTTTTAAAATTAATAATAAAATTATAAAAAAATCTACCCACCGAAAAAATTCAACTAAATATTTTGAAAATAAAAATGTCCTTAATTGTCATATTATACATATAAACAGCTAATATAAACCGCTATTTTACCAAATACTTCAATACAAACAGTTAATGGAATGCAGCAGTCAAATTCGCTAATCGAATCAGTTAACAACTAATTGCTAAACACTGTGTGTTTACTTGTAAAATTTTAGTTTTGAGCTTTGGTTTTGAATAATAAGATTTTGAATTGAAATAGTTGTTTGATATGATATAAATATGTATTAATGCGATATTTCGAATGTAAAAATTAATTTTTATGTAATATAATAAATAAAAACTAAATAATTGATTTAATATTTTTGGAAAAAAAATTAAAATAGTAAGATCAAAATCAAATCTCATTAAAACAATTTAACAATTAGAATCTTCTCATTCAAATGTTTTTTTTCAACAAAAAAAAATGATAGTAATTGGTCCGTACAAAACTAAAGCAAAATGAGCCCACTCTAATTACATCGCCCGACAAATAAGAGCCGAGCCCGGCCCGGATCACCGGCCCGACATTCTGCCCGACAATGAGGCGTACTCTAAATACTCGGCAAGATCCTCGCACGTTTCCATGTATGTATATGTAAGAGTACTGCCCCATTATGCCGGTGATGGAAGCCCCTTTTGGTAATTTCACCAACCCACGTCTAATTGACTGGACTCCGACTCCCGACCCCAACTGACCCTTCTTCCTCCTATTCTGCATCTGTCCTCCATTTTCCACATTCTCAATAAAGCAAATATTAATCATTATTATTATTATTATTAAATTATTTGTTCTTAAATAAAATTAGTTGAGAAGTGAAACAGTTATACGTCCAATTTCCAGAACGGAAAAAAAGTTTCTAGACAGCCAAACACGGCCTTAGATTACATGTAAAGCATCACTCCGGTGGGGGCCACGGCCCATTACATGTTCCTTTCTACTGTTCCTTCCTGACCTCTTTTTTTTTCTTTACTATTTTCTCCTTTTGTACTAAAAGAGGCGTCATTGAAAAGACGGAATTACCCCTGCATCTTTGTTTTATTCTCCCCCGGTCCTCTGGTTTATATATATATGGTTTGAGTCACGCTCTACTTGTGTGCGTATGTTTTGAATTATTTTTCTCTCTACAGAGGGAAATGGCGTCAGGTGGTGGTGGTGGTGGTTACCGCAACGGCGTTAACAAGGCACCAAATCTCCGTACTTCATCCTCCTTCAAATCTAAGCTTCCGCCGACGAATGCTCGCCGCAGCAGCGGAGGCGAATCCGGTGAGTTGGGTGGACTTGTTTGGTAGCGGTTTTGCCTGCCGAGATCTGGTTGTGTGGATTGTACTGGAAATTGTGGTGGTGGTTGTTCAATTTCACTTGCAATGTAGCTCGGTGTTGGAGCTTGATTTTGAAATGGAATTTGATGAGTGAGCGTGCTGGTTTTGCGGTGGATTTTGATGGTTGTTCGTTTGATTATCTGAGCGATTGGATTAGCTTTTTGAATTATTGTTCAGCAGTGTGTTGTTACAATTGATTTTTTATTTGGTTTTGTGGTTTGTGCTCTCACTAATTAATTATTTGATTGCCAAGGACTCTATTGAGGTGTTCTGCGGCTGTTGGATTTGTTATTATGATTTGATTTGATTTGATCGAAGGTGTATTAGGATTTATTTGAGCTTGTATTACTCATGCATTGAGAGAGAGAAAAAGCGTGTTTTTGCTCTGCCAATTAATGTGTGTGATGAGTTTAGAATTATGGGAGTTGTTATTAGTAAGAGAGATAAGTTTCTACCATGATCATGTTTATAAAGGTAAATTAAGCGTTTCACATTAATGATTGTGCATTATGTGCAAAATTCAAGTGTATGCAGATCATGAGTAAATGATATAAGATTATTATGGAAGATGGATGGTAAAAGGGAAGGGTTTTCCATGTGTACATGACAGTCAAAGGGCATTTCTGAAAGAAAAGAATGCATTTTAATTTCTGAAATTACTCTGATAAAGGATTAATGTTTGGATTGTAAGCATAAGTGTACTGCTCATGATCATTTGACTGTTTGAAGATTCTGAATAATTATGTTGCTGGATTAATTACAGGAAGAGTCCGAGTTGCTGTAAGATTGAGACCTCGGAATGCTGAAGAGCAGGCAGCAGATGCAGATTTTGCTGATTGTGTGGAGTTGCAGCCAGAGGTTCCCGATTAAACTTTAATACTATTGTTTATTTAACTTTTATGTATCCTATGGTATTATCTACTTATAAGATTCACAGTGATGCCATTTTTTTCACATTGTTTCGTGCAGCTTAAGAGGTTGAAACTTTGTAAAAATAATTGGGACTCAGACACATATGAGTTTGATGAGGTTCTTACTGAATTCGCATCACAAAAGAGAGTCTATGAAGTTGTCGCAAAACCTGTTGTCGAGGTGAGTTTTTGATGTCTTTTCATTCAACTTTAGCGAATGTTAGTTTTTGATGTCTTCAATTCAATTTTAGAGAATTTTGAAATATTGTTCTGAAGATTAAGAACTATGGTATGCCGTGAGCTTTTCTCATTGCAAAATGACTGTGCATTCCTGCACATTCTTGAATAAGAGAAAAGGATGGGTGAAAATATTCTATTTTGGTTACCTGCACCTTTGGCTTTTATCATAGATGGATTGCATATGTTATCATGTGTGGTTAAATAATTGATATTCACTTCAACTCTTTAAGAATTATAAACTATGACGTGCATGGAGAAATATAACAACATGCTTGTGCTAAGTTTTTGCATCTCTTGTACAAGTGTAAATCATGTAAATGTACTCTTGCTGTTGGTATTTTAAAGGAAACAGACTTTATAGCATGGACTATAATTCAGGAGTGCTTGTGATTCTAGTGTGCCATTAGCCATGCACTGCCTATCATTTTTATTTTGCTTTGCTGTATCAGTCCTTGAATATTTAAACTTATTTAGTCTTGCCCTTGATTGAAGATGGCCTTGAGTTATTTCTACTAAAGCTTTTTTATAATCTCTGATTTGGTTATCTATTGTATTATGTTCCATCCTGTATTTTCCAGAGTGTTTTAGAAGGCTACAATGGGACGGTAATGGCATATGGTCAAACTGGCACTGGGAAGACTTACACACTTGGACGTCTTGGTGATGAAGACACCTCTGATCGGGGAATAATGGTCCGCTCAATGGAGGATATTCTTGCAAATATTTCTCCAGAGACTGATTCTGTTACAGTATCATACTTGCAGGTAGTGTATTTAGCTTAGTGCCAACTAATGAAAGTGCAATGCTGACACTATTGATTATATTTCCAAGAGTTTGAGAATGTAAATTCAGCTCTAATTTATAAGTTTTGGTTTTTGGTAGCTATATATGGAAACCATTCAAGATCTACTAAATCCAGCAAATGATAACATATCAATTGTTGAGGACCAAAGAACGGGTGATGTTTCCTTGCCAGGGGCAACTGTAGTGAACATCAGAGACGAACAAAGTTTTCTTGAACTTTTGCGTGTGGGGGAAGCCCATAGGATTGCTGCTAACACTAAACTTAATACTGAATCTTCCCGCAGTCATGCTCTCCTCATGGTACCAAAACTGTTGATACAGTATTTATCTGTAGCTTATGTGGTTGTGAAACTCATGTAAAATATATAGGTACATGTGAAGAGGTCAGTGTTGGGTGGGGAAGAGGATTTTTCTCCCAATACTCAAAATCGCTCTAGTTTGGTTGGCAATTTGAGGCCACCTATGCTACGGAAAGGCAAACTAATAGTTGTTGATCTTGCTGGATCTGAACGAATTCACAAATCAGGTTTTCAGTTTTTACCCCAACTCTTTAAATTTGTTGGAATAAGTCAACATTTTGTTCTTTCTTTCTTAACTATTATGCGTACATTTTGTGAGTATTTTTAATATATTTTTTATTGATTTATTTATTTTTCTACTATAATAAGTGTGAATGAGCTGTGATTAATAATATCATCAGTTTCCCATCACATGTGTATTAACTAATATTTCTAACTATTTAGTGGATGCTGCCTTAAGGATTCCCCAGCAGCAATGACTAATTTTTAAGGGCAAACAACCTTGTTATTTGAGTCCCATATTCATGGTTGTCATTAACATATTAATTTTGGGGTTTTCTGAAGATTTCTGGTATCTGTGGGAAATGTTTGATGATGCTTGTTACCCACCATTTTTGGTTCTTTATAGTTTATAATTTTGTTATTGTGTGAAAGACCAACCATGAGTACCTTAATCTTGTTATCGTGAACTATATTTGTGATTAGCGGCATATTTATTCCGTCTCTGACTTATTGTACTAAATTTTTCTCAAATGCTGCATGCATAACAGATTAAACTGGCTATGATCCTCTAGAACACATATTTACTTGTTTTATTCTCAAAATCATTGTTCCCAGCTATGTAGTTAAAGTCTTCAAGCAATTCTTCTTCTGCTCTATAAGATTATGAATGGGGAGGTTGTATCTGTTGATTATCATTTTGATATATTGTCCAACACACTTCTATAATCTTTTGCAGGGAGTGAGGGACACATGTTAGAAGAAGCCAAATCAATTAATCTTTCACTTAGTGCTTTAGGAAAATGCATAAATGCATTGGCGGAAAATAGTTCTCATGTACCAGTTCGAGATTCAAAGCTTACAAGGTTACTTAAAGATTCATTTGGAGGTGAAATATCTTTTGTAATTTGTTTGTGTACTTCATGCAAGCGTGTATGTCCATTGAATCAAGGTTCATCCTAACCCTGACATACTTTATTTGAGAACGAGTAATTTATCTTGGCAGTTTCAAGAGCTAAAATTATTAATGATTGATGATTGAGACCTTGGCATAAAAGCTTTATGCAATGATTAGGTCTGCAATCCAATATTTACCATTTTTTCATTTTTTTTTTAAAACAATCTTTGAGAATGTAGTGGTGATGATTAAGATCTTGCCACAAGCTTATGCTGCATTTATCTGTAATTCAATCATGCTTGATTTTGATTATAGTATTGAAGAAAAAAATATCATTGTTTTAGAGATTGATTGATCCTTGTATTTGCTGCAGGCACATCCAGAACTTCATTAGTTATCACAATAGGTCCTTCACCACGCCATCGAGCTGAGACTTCAAGTACCATATTGTTTGGACAAAGAGTGAGTTGTTCAAATCAACATTTGTGAAGATTGTTGCATAATTTTGATTGTTTCGTCAGTAGCGGTTTCTTTTTTTAGAACTTTTCTGAAGTATAGAAATTACTGTGAAATTTTTCTGTAGGCAATGAAGGTGGAGAACATGCTGAAGATCAAAGAAGAATTTGACTACAAAAGTTTGTCCAAAAGACTTGAGATAGAACTTGAAAAACTTATTGCTGAAAATGAAAGGCAGCAAAAAGTGTATGATAATGAGATTGAGAGAATCAGATTAGAAGCACAGAAACGTGTTAACGAGGCAGAAAGGAAGTATGTGGAAAGTTTAGAGGTATGGACAACATAAACTCATCTGCCTCTATATTCATTATATTTCTGTCTAGCTAGACCAAATACTTGATTTGAGCAAGTAATTTAATTGAAAATGATATTTGATTCCTGGGTGAGTAGCCAATTTTTCTCAAGAGCTAGTAAATTTTCTTTTGCTGTATGCATTCTCCTAAGAAGCTGATAATGTCTCTAAGATCTACCTACCTAAAAGAATAATGTGGTCTGGTATAAAAAATCAATTTTCAGCTTTTTGTCTTACCGACCGGTTTGGTGAAGGTGAATGCCAACAATTATATCAAACATATATCTAGGCTCCTCTGTCCGTTTGTTTCATTTTTTCAATTGATTTGTTTTGTATTAGGAGGAGAAAATGAAATGTCAGATGGACTATATGGAGTCAATTAAGAAGCTTGAAGAGAAATGGGCTGTCAACCAGCAAAAGAATGCCCTTAATGGAGAGGTAGCTTTTCAACAGTTTTGATATAAGTCCTGAGATTACTCTTTTAGCTACTGTTAAAAAAGACCATCTCCTTGCTGTCTGTCTGACTGCATGTTCAGTAGTTCTTGTTCTGTAAGATATTGAAAGAATATGGAGAAGAAAGAATTTCGTTAATCATTTATGTGATCTTTTATTCAAATAGGATGTTATAATTCTGGGATTATAATAGTGAGAATGTAAAAATAAGGACCTCTATCTATACGGAAATTGATCCCCTTTCAGCATTTTGGTTTGATTAGTCATTTAAAATTTATATAATATCATGAAAGTAATGTAAAATCAGTTATAACTAATACTGCCTTAGAATGGTGGTAGAATGCAATTCAAATAATCCTCTTGCTTGGATCCAAGGCCTTCCAGCCTTGGAAACTGGATTTTAACTTTAACAAGCTTTGACTCTTCCTTTGTATTGTATCTATGCTGCCTGAGGATGTAAGTAAAACATATACAGATTTTTTCCCCCTTAGCAAATAGATAAATCAACTTCAATTGGTTATGTACATTCTATAAAAATTTTATTTAGAGATAGGATGGGTTAGGAGGGAATGTCAACATTTGAATGTGTGCTGATTTATCATTTGAACTGTCATCGCATTGGCCTTTCCATTTGTTATTTGTGAGTCAATGTGAAACATATTTGCAAATGAATCATTACAGTTACCTACATATATACAGGCACAATTAGAAGGTACATACCCTTCTTTTTTTGGGCAACCAATATAAGTTTTCTTTACAACCAGGATATTTTTTGGCAGATTCAGAGGGGTTCCAGTAATCAAGATGTTTCCGAGCTTAAACAGTTGCTTCAAAGTGAAATATCAGCAAGAAAGGCAGCCGAAGAAGAAATTCGAAGCTTAAAGAACCTGTTGCCTAGATTTTCAAAGGATGAGGTTAAATTTTATTTTTCACCAAAATTTAATGTTGACTACACTTAGATTTTCACATTTCCTGGATCTGGTTTTGACTGATTATGTTTTAAATCTTATGTTGCGCAGTTGGCAGGAGGAAACACCAACAACTTTGGCCTTGAAGAAATTTTGGAAGAGGAGAGTCGTCAGAAGATGAAACTTGAAGAAGAAGTCAGAGTCTTACGAAGTCAATTGGCTCAGTTTTCTATTGAAGCTAATCAAGTATGTTATATGTATAACTAACTATCAAAATATATGCCACAAATTTTCTTATCGATTTATCCTGCCCTCGTTTAAAGTGAAAGGGGCTATCTGGGTTCTGGATGCTTGACCGATTCCATATGTGTGCACTTGTAAACCTTAATTTTGAATATCTCATTATATTTCACTTTATAGGCTAGAAGCCATCCAGACAGAGTCAATGGTGGAAATCCCCTTCTTGGGTTAGAAGGCTCTACCCCACTTAATAATCTACGTCCAAGAGATGGCAGCAATGCAGAAAGAACATCAATTACGAACCTTCATGAACAAGGTGCTGACCATGTTTTACTAACTAGAGTCTTTAAGATTCTCTTTGAGCTTTTGTGGTTACTGATCTATTACTTTGGACAGTTGGGTTGCAAAAGATACTATCATTGCTTGAGTCAGAGGATGCTAGCGTGCGGATTCATGCTGTGAAAGTAGTTGCGAACTTAGCTGCAGAAGGTGTTTTGCTTAACCACACTCTTTTAAGTTGTTAACATCTCATTCCTTTAGATCTTCCCGTGCTATTTCCATTGGCGATTTTAATTCTCACGTCGACATCCTAGATTACTTTTTGAATCTTTATCTGAAGCTGTGCAGTATTAGGAGCACTAGTCATTTCTAAAATAGTCTTTACTTCTTTCCTTCCTAACTTAAGTGCATTGAGCATGTTGTGATGTTCTTCAAGAATTGTTTTCCACAACTCCTACTTTGTAATTACGTTGAGAGAGGCAAACAATGCAACTAGGCGCTGTGTATTGGACGCTACAAAGTAGATTGCCCTATCTTAAAATGTAAGATGATTCATCAACTTTTATGTGTTGAGATATAGGAGCTCTTTATCTTCTTTCCGCCGATGAACATTGTTAAGAAGGGATCTGGACTTTCAATCTAAACCAATTGGTGATAGCTAGAGTGGCCCTTCACCCATATAAGCCAAATGAGTTTCTACATTTCAACACTCCTCTCTTGAAATGATAATCCCAAAAATTCAAATAGGATCAATACCCAATACAGGTACTATGGTTCTGATACTATGTTATTAGAGCCTTAGGTCTCGATTTCGAGTCCCATCGTCCCCCCGTTTGTCATTATCCACGTGCAAATTTCATTTGGTGGCGTTTATCCCATTGTATGTGAAGGGGCATGTTGGTGGACTCTCGGCTGTAGATAAATAGACAAATAATGCGTATCCTTAATCGCTTAAGTTTTTAGGTGAGACGATCATTTACTTAATCTAACATATATTAAAAAGCACAAATGAATTCAGATTTGGTTATGAAGTTAAAAATGAGTTCCTTTTGAAAAGTTATGTTATTATTATATATATTTGTACAAATTATAATATCTGCAAGTCTGAAGTGAAAGTAGCAAGGGGATTGCACATGTGTGACACAAGATTTTTTGTGTTTTGGGGGTATCTGAAAAATAAAAAGAAGGAAAATGTTATGAAGCGGACCCCTTTCAGACTTTCTTTGTAATGGGTTTTTAATATGAACGATTGTAGCATGAATGGCTTGACTAATTGTTAAAATTGCTTGTCAGTTGTACTGCCTGGAAAGTGAGATTTTTTTTTTTTTTTTTTTTTTTTGTGTGCCAAATCTATATATGCTAGAATAATGATTTATCTCACTTTTGAGTCTGTTATGCTAGTGTCTTTTGCACATTATTTATACCCATGTTACTTTGCAGAGGCAAATCAGGAAAAGATAGTTGAAGCTGGGGGCCTCACTTCATTGTTGATGCTCCTTAGAAGATATGAGGATGAAACAATTCGTAGGATTGCAGCTGGTGCAATTGCCAATCTTGCTATGAATGGTAATCTCCTTCATTGTTCTGCATTGTTATTCCTTCAGTTCTTTGCTTTGTTGTACACTTTAGTCACCCAATTTTAGGTGTTGAATTCAATTCTATTATCATCTGATCCGTTGCTGTGATTCTCCTATTGTTGTTCAGAGGCCAATCAAGAACTCATAATGGCTCAAGGTGGTATTCGTCTGTTATCAGCAACAGCTAGTAATGCAGAAGATCCTCAGACTCTAAGAATGGTTGCTGGAGCAATAGCTAATCTATGCGGCAACGGTACATACACATAAAATAGAGTTCTATAGCATTATGGGAAGCATTTAATAAGCTCAAATGTATATCTACCTGCTGCATGGTCACAATCTAGTGTTATCATCCTATCACATTTTTTATTTAAATTTGTTTCTAATTTTCACTCCTTACATCCTTCTAGATAAACTGCAAGCAAGGCTGAGGTCGGAAGGTGGCATTAAAGCGCTCTTAGGAATGGTGAGATGTAGACATCCGGACGTTCTCTCTCAAGTTGCCCGTGGGATCGCAAATTTTGCCAAATGTGAATCTAGAGCAATCACTCAAGGTAATGATTTTATCTTCAATAAAAGCCAAATATCAATATACCTAATTCAGTTTCTTCAAGCATGATATCACACTAGTATTCGTAGTCGTCCATGGTGTTCACAATTCTTTCGATATAACTATAATTATCCGAATTCAAACACCCTATAAGAAACAATACATATATGACAGGAATGCGAGAGGGACGATCTCTACTGATCGAAGACGGGGCTCTCCCATGGATAGTACAAAATGCCAACAACGAAGCATCACTAATCCGTCGGCACGTTGAGCTTGCACTGTGCCACCTGGCACAGCATGGTAAGCAAAGCAACTGCACTAACTACTACTATATGTTAATTGTTATAAAACACCACGGCACAGCACAAACTATGCTCCCTTTCACAATGTTGGCAGAGGTGAATGCAAAAGATATGATCAGTGGAGGAGCTCTCTGGGAGCTCGTCCGTATTTCCCGGGAATGCACCAGGGAGGATATAAGGGCACTCGCTCGTCGAACTCTTACATCAAGCCCGATTTTCCAGTCGGAAATGCGGCGGTTGAGGATCGAGGTGTAAAACCTTCTTCATCATCTCCTCTCATAATTGAAATAACCTTTGCTGCTGCTGAATCCTAACCTGTTTGTGCAGTAGCTTCATTAGAATGCGGCATTCCACAGGTAGCCTAAGCCCTACAGGAGGTGAGGTGAGGTGCGTACTACCACTTTATTGCTTGCAAGATGGGGGTTGTGGTATTGATTGATTGATTTGTGAGTAAACTCTTTTATGTTATATATATATACATATCATTTTTTGAGCACCAATTTTGTTGCGTTTTGTCGGCAAGTAGGTGTGTATATATATATATGAAGAAGATAGGAAAGTGAAATGAATAATTGTGTATGCTGTGTGTTTTTTTTTTTATCTATATGAAGCATTATATTATTATTATTATTAGAGAATTTTAGGATGTATGTGGGTTTTGAGCCAGTGATTTTTAGCTGTGATTGTGATTGCCATTTTGTTTTTTAGACTAAAAGTGATTTAAGGAGGTTTGAGGATAAAGAGCATTGATTAATTAATTCATTGTAGATAGGGATTAATTAATTCATTGTAGATAGGGGTGGCCAAAAAAATTGAACCGAACCGCGGATGCGAACCGAATTTTTGGTTAATCGAGCAAATTCGGTTCGAATACAAATACTGCATATTTGATATTTGTTCGGTTCAGTTTCGGTTTTTGATATAGATATAGATATGACCGAGTATTGTGTAAATAATCAATCAATAGATGAGAAAAAAGGTAGGTAGCATATTTAGGGATATAAGATTACAAGAAGTCAATTCATTAGTTGTAGACATGGAATGGTAAAAACTCAATGCCCCAATCATATCTCCCTTGGAATTGGATTATCATAATAAGCACTTATTATTAAAAAGTGTTGGTAGGCATCAAACAGTATCATTTTAATTCAAGTATCTACTATTCGGAAATCAAATCCAAATATTAAGGACAGTCCTTGTAGTGCCTTTTGGAGATTATTTATTGACAGGAAGTCACAAACAAGAACTTCTAGCCTCAACCTAGAAATGTGCGAAAGGAAATGAACTTGGAGGGAGCTTAGGGTCTGTTTGGTTTAAACGAGGCAGGGGAGGCGAGGGGAAGGAATAAAATATTAGAATTGTAATAGTGCTTTTGGTTTATACGAAAAGGAAGAGAGATGAGGTTAGGAAAAATAATACTCCCTCCGTTCCAAATACTGTGGTAATTTGAGATAATTTGGATATTAAGTTATGTGATTGGAGAGAGAAATAATTATTTATATTTTTATTTAAGTGATATAATGGGATAAAGTAGAGTATATATTAATATATGTATATAAATATTATTAATTATTTCTATATTTGAAAATATTGCAGTGAGTTTGGGAAAACAAACAAAAAAAAAATGTTGCAGGATGTTTGGGACGGAGAGAGTATTTTTGTGTTTTATTAAATAAGGGAGGAAAATGAAAATATAATAATTTTACTATTTTATCTTTATATTGTATAAATAAATAAAAATAAAAGTATTTAATAAAATTTTATTAATAAAACATCAATTTTGATATAAGATAGTTTGTTTTAAAATAAGTATATATATATACATATATCATGTAAATAAAACATAAATAAAATAAAATATTATATATATAATATTGAATAATTTAATAATAAAATAATCATTTTAATATAAATTTTATATATCTAGAATACATTAAAATAGATATGAATTTATTTTATTAATTAAAATCTTACTCTTAAGGGTTTAATTAAATAATTAAATTAAAATTAATTTAATTTATATAAAAATTTGTTTTATAATTTAATTACATTATAAAATTTAAAAATATTATAACTAATTATTAATTATAAAATACGTATAATATAATTTATGTATAATTAAATATAGATAAAGTAATATATAATATAAGGATATAAGCGTAATTTTATAAATTAAAAACCTAAACATCTTTACCTCCCCTTCAAATACCCTCAATTTTGAGGGAAAACAAGATTAAGGGGGTGTATTCAATTGGGATTTTAATGGATTTTTTGGGATTTTAAAAAGTTTATGGATTTAGAAAATCTACAAATCTAGGTTGAGTTTGATGGATTTTAGTAATTGATTTAGATGGATTTCTACGAATTTGATTGAATTCTTTATGGATTTTGTAGGATTATAAAATAATTTTTTTAAATATATATTAATTATATAAATTTATATCAACACCAAATTTTATAAATATAATAAATAATTATTAATAAGATAATATTTAAATATTAATAAATAATATATAAGTATTAATAAATAATATATACGTATTTACTTTTTTATGTAAAAAAGTTATATTAAAATAAATAAATATATAATTTACGATTTTTTTTAAAAAAAATAAATATAAATTAACGTTTCAACAAAAAATATATATTAAATATCTATTTCACAGTTATCGTTATGATAATATAGTGTATTCGATAATTGAAAAGAAAAGACAGCAGTAATACATATTTATTGTGATAATAATATTCTTTAAAATTATATTTATAATATAAAAATATATATTTAAAAAAAACATAATAATTTGCTAATATATTTTAGTTTTAAATTATTATTTTTATTAAAAATTATAATAATAGTAATAAATATTATCGTATTATTGATCACATATACTACAACAACAACAACAACAATAATAATAATAATAATTTTAACAATCCATCAAATTCTGTGATGATCAAGAGAGATTCTTTTTTATATAAAATTTTCACAAAAATTCATTAAAATCCATAGACTTTGATTGTTGATAATCTTAAATTTTAAAAGACTTTTAAAAGTCTATACCTCAGGATTTTTAAAGACTTTTAAAAATCTTGATTGAATACACTCAAAATTTGAAAATCCAACAAAATCCTATAAAATCTATATTGAATACACCCCCTAAGTTTATTTTATATCTCCTTCACTCCCTTCTCTTCCCCCGTTTAAAAAAAAATAACCAAACAAAATAATTGTAATTTTTTTCATTCCCTCTCCTCCCTTTTCGTCCAAATTTCTCAAACGAAACAGACCCTTATTGTAAAAGTTTATTTACTCTCATTCAAGAATTTTCCGTGTTAAAATGTCTAATGTTTCAAATTAATTTGGAAATATTTGATATGATTGAACTATATATATAGTTTCATATGGTTTTTGTTTGTTATTAAAGAAGACATTGAGCCATTAACAAAATTATAAGACTAATTCAAATCAATTATAGTTTTGGATAAACTTATATTTAGTTTTCACTTAATCCCTTTATCATTTTATAGTAATAAGTGACTTTGTATAGAAATAATTATACAATTAAATTTTTTTATTATTTTAGAACAATAATATAGAAATAGTCATATAATTATTTCTTGTTTTTTAATTTTTTTCCAAAACAGTTATTCGGAAATGATGTGTGCGCACAATTGGACAAGCATTCATTTCTATCTGATAATTTTTCTTATTATTTTTTAGACCAAAATGCCATATCGATTTTTTCCACAAATCTCCTTCACAAATCACAACCACACATTAATTTACTTCACTCTATTCTTCATTGTTTTCATTCTCCTCAAGCCTAATCCCCAACCCAAGTTTGCAATCATTTGCGAGCCAAAGATCGTCCATTATCCACGGTCTTTGCTATGATCGGAGCTGTTAACGAGCTCACGCAAGTCAAATTTTAAGTGTTCATTAATGTTCACGAATAAGACTTATGTTCGTTCTTTAAGCTTTCGAGCTCGTTTGTAATGTTCAAACTCGGCTCGTTAAGATTTTTTATTGTTTGAGCTTGTGTTCGTGTTCGACTCGATTAAACTCGTTCGAGCTCGTTTGTCTCATTTTCTCAAATTTATATATAAATTAAAAATAAAATTTAATTTTTTTTTATTTATATATTTGAAATTGATATTTTATTTATTTATAAATTATAATTTTATATGTATATATAATATTTATAATAAATATATTATTTAAACGAACAGAGTTCGGGCTCGTTCGTTAATCAAACGAGTTTGTTTATGTTAACCAACCGGAGGACATATCCCCAGGTATAATAAGTGATCCTTTTCCTGACAAAAAATTGTTCCTTGTGCAGGGTAAGGAGCCATGGTTTGCAGTCGAATTTTTTGGCCACTGTATAGTTTCCCGCTCATGTTGTTTTTTTAGGAAAAGAAGTGTCTGCTCAGCTTGGAAAAGGACTATTTTTGGGATGAATATTATTTGTTCAATATCGGCTCTGATGGGATTATCCGTCGTTGTATAATGGAATCAGAAGTCCTACTGATTTTGAATGGATTTCATGGCTCCCATTATGAGAACATGTCCGTAGCTCGCGCACAGCGGCCAAAGTCTTGCAGTCTAGCTTCTTTTGGTCAACCCTGCAAAAAGATGCTGATGCTTTTGCTTAGGCTTGCACAAAGATCATAGACTTGGCTTTATCTTGAAAAAAGATGAGATGCCTCATACTAGAATCTTGTTTGTAGAATTATTTGATGTACGGGGAATAGACTTTATGGGACCATTTCCGAATTCAAATGGAAAACTCTATATCTTAGTGGTAGTAGATTATGCGAGCAAGTGGGTTGAAGCACAAACGCTCCCAACTAATGATTCTCACTCAGTGATACGTTTCTGAAAATACATTATTTTTCCAAGATTCAGGGTTCCCAGGGCTATCATCAACAATGAAGACACCCATTTTGTAAACAAGGTGCTGCAGTCTTGCCTTCAAAGTTATGGGGTTCGCCAACATCTAACTACTCCCTATCATCCACAAGCAAGCAGTCAAGTGGAAAGTTCTAACAGAGAAATCAAACACATCCTTCAGACCATAGTCAACAAGAGTCGTAAGAATTTGGCTAAAAAATTAGATGATGCACTGTGGGTCTACACAGCCTTCAAGACGCCAATTGGGATGCCAAGAAAGTATGACATCAAACTCATGTTGGTCATATCAAACTCACGCTTCATGGATAATTTAAAATCCTCAATCATGTGAGGACTACTCTCTGCAAAAATAAGATCGTCAACGTATATACACAACACCAACTAATCTCCAACAAGAGTGGCTTTGACATAAAAAGCATGTTCACTTGAACATCTTTGATATCCAATTCCGGAGAAGAATGAATCAAACTGCATATTCCACCCTCATAGGGCTTGTTTGAGTCCATACAAGGCCTTCTTTAATTTATACACTTTGTGCTCACTTTCATATGATTAAAATTCGGGAGGCTGCTTCACATAAA